AGCGTCCTGCCTAAGGAGCAGAATGTCCCTCAGTGTGTGCTGAGGAGCTGGGGCATGACACCCAGGTCATCCTGACCCTCAGTGTGCTCTCTCTGCATCTGGATGTCACCCTTGCCTGGCAAGAGACTGACAGTTTAAGGGAACGGTGATGTCTTCCAGCAAGTGCTGGGCAGGGGTGCGCAGGGAGTGGCCTCAAGATATTTGAGTCTGCCAGGGACAGTCAAGGCTCCTTCCACGCCTGGAAGCTCCTGGAAGCAGACCCTCAAAGGGTAGGTGCCAAATGCAGGAAGGGCCTGGGATCCTCCAATGCATGAGGCCCTCAGGTACCGGGGACTCCTACTCCAGGACAGGGAGCCCTGGATCTCAGGAATAGCATTCAGTCGGGCCCCAGGTGGGTCTCCAGGAAGTCTGTCTGCTGACCCTTGCCCTGCCCATTGGGGTCACAGGTTTCATCTGACCACACTTCTCTGTGACCACACTTCCAGAGCTGCAGAGGACCACCATTCCTCCTCCACGTGTCCCCAGCACTTTCAGAGCACCTACTATGCATTATGGGCACCTATCAGGCACCTTTCACTTTGCCAGGCTAAAGCATCCTGAATGTCCCTGGCCAAGCCTCATAGTGTCCCTCATCATCAGGGGCCCAGCTTGTCCCACTCCACTGCAGGGCCACCACTACACCCACCACCCCATCCCGGCACCCTGGAGGCACGCTAGACATGTCCCTGCCCCTCATCACACTGCACCTTCCATTACCCCTCCTGCCACCCTGACCTCCCAGATGGTGCCCAAATCCCTAATCCACCCACTTCTCACCTCAACACTGCCTGCACCGTAAGATGCCAGCATGTCTTGCCTGGATGACCCAGTTGCCCCCTAACAGCCCCCCTGCATCCACACAGCCAATCCCGGCCTCATAGTACAGCCTCGTTGTTGTTTTGAATTATAAACCTCATCAGGGAGTCCCCTAACTTAAAAGCCATTGTTCTTAAGACTAAAATCCAAGCTGTTTAACACAGCCCAGGGTCCTGTAAGGCCTGGTCCCATTCTTACCCTCACCCTGCTCAAGTATAGCCACCTTAGCCTCCTTAAACTTCTTCCTCAAATAGGCCCTGCTTACTTTGCACACACAGTCTGCTCTTCCCTGGGATGCTCCTTCTGTGTACCTCTCTCACCTTACACACACGCACATATGCACGGGCACACATACACACACAACAGTTATTACACCCAGTTAATTTTTACCCACTTTTAATGGCCAATGTCCCCCCCCCCCCGCCGCCTTTAGAGCCCTCATCTTGGTATATAAGTACATGCACTCATTTGGATTATCAGTTGATTGATTCAGACTGAGTCTGGGAGGGCAGAGCTTGTGCCAGTTTTTGCTCCTCACACATCCCAGGACCCAGCTCAGTGCCTGGCATGTACTCAGCAAATGAATGACAGAGGCAGCGAAGCACTCTGGCAGCAGGAGCAGTCCTCCTTCCAGAGATGCCCTACAGAGGTGTTGGGCTCACTGGCTCTCCACCCAGGTCCATCCTCTCCTCTTGCTGGCCACACAACACACCCAGCCTGCCGTGAGCAAAGCTCTGCCATGTGACTGAGCTCCAGCTAGTGGGGCACCAGCAGAACCACACCTGGCCTTTCAGACCCTCCCAAGTATGGACATGGGACCACCACATAGCCATTTATAAGGATGAGAGGATCCATGTTAACTGGCGTGAAAAATATTCCACTTAAGAGGAAAAAAAGCTGTCATCAGGGTGCCTGGGTGGCTCAGTCGGTTGAGCATCTGCCTTGGGCTCAGGTCATGATCCTGGGTCCTGGGACTGAGTCCTGCTTCGGGCTTCCTGCTGAGTGGGCAGTCTGCTTCTCCCTCTTCCTCTGCCTCTGAGCTCTCTCTCTCTCTCAAATAAATAAATAAAATCTTAAAAAAAAACTGGTATCAAACTGCATAAACAGTGTGAATCTACGTATCAAAAATCAGAGTCAGCTATCTCGGGTATTTGTGCCAACAGAGATTTCCGGAATCCTGTCCAGCACAGCATTAGCAGGAGTTAGGACTCGGGGGGGGGGGGGGGGAATTCCATGTGATGTGAGCATTCCTCTTTGCATTTTTCTGGAGTTCTACAAGAGTTATAAATTGTTTTTATATTAAAAATAAAGCTCTCTCCTCTGAAATGAAAACATCAGGGTCCCTCCTGTCCTGCTGGGATGTGGCCCCTCCCATGCCACTCCTGGCTCACCTCCCAGCTCGGAGCCCCAAAGAATGTAGGACGTGCCCCACTGCTGGTAACATTTACAGCTTGCTGCCCGGCTCGGCTGAGAGGACAGTGATTATGGAGACGCACCCTTGGGTGTGTTCTTGAAGAATGGATGATTAAACCCATTACCCAGACCTCAGAGTTTGCTCAAAGGAAGTATTTATAGACATTAACCACTATTTTGCAGCTCTGATTCTTTTTTTTTTTTTTTTGGCACTTTTCATTCTGTATTTAGCAAAAAGAAAAGGGGATATATCCCAGTCCCAAGAGGGAAACAGCTAGTCCTAACAGGCTCTGGGCCCCAGGGCCGGTGCCGTGCCAGGAGCCCCAGGCATCTTGTTCTGGGCTCAGCTCTCATGATGAGAGCTACCAGCCCACAGGGCCTGGCCCTTTAAAGAACAAAGACACACACCAAATAGGCATCCTCCAGGCTGGGAACATGACCACACAATTAACAAGGACTCCACTCAGCTGAAGACAAAGAGCATGTCCCCTACAGAGAAAGTGGGGATTGATTGTCATACCTGAGCCCCACGTAGAGGCTGCCCAGGACCCTGCCTTCCCTATAGCAGCACCCCCTGAACTGTGCGGCAGCTCTCCCAGATTCCTGTGTGCACACCTACTCTCTGGCCACCTCCACGTGCCAGGAGCTGTGCCTGGAGCTAGGGTCCCAGCAGCTCCCTGCTCCCCTGGATTGCACACCTGCTTCTCAGCTGGCCTTAGCTGCCCCAGCCTCCTTTGACCCCAAAGATGACCTGTGCTTATATCAACAGGTCAGAACTTTTCAAGGATCTTTCCTTTTTCTATGGAGTAAGATCCAAATGTCCTACTAAATGGACAGCCTCCTGAGCGAGGAGCTCCTGTACCATCTGCCTTTGATGGTACATGCCCTGATGTCCTGGATGACGGCAGGATTTGGTGGGTTCCCTGCACAGCCTGACTGTGGCATCTGTGGGCTCGTTGGGCCTTGCTGCCCCCTCATCTCCAGCCTCTGTGCCCCACCTCCCTGCAGGGGGACACTTGCTACCAGGTTCCAGAGCTCTGAGCTGTCCCTTAGCTCCAGGGGTGGGCCTGTAGCCAAGCCTGGCCAGAGGGGCATCACAGTCCCCAACCAAGCTGATTGATTCAGGGCTGGTTAGATTACCCACCCAGCAGTGGAGATAAGGCATGGCCAGGAGGAGAGAAGGAGAGAGGGGGAGAAAGACAGACCAGGCACACTAGATCTCCTCTGTGCCGGCTTTGAGCCTGGGCGAGGTGAGGTAGAAGTCTGTCTATCCATGAGGCTAACACACACAGAGGACATACAGCCAGGAGACGGGGAAAGACACTGATCCTGAGACAGGACCGAGCCACTCCTGTAGAGACCCATCAACCATATGGCTGGTAATCCCCTTTCTGCTTTGGGTCAGGCTCCCATCACTTGCAGCAGAAAGGGTCGACACAGATATGCCTCCGCACAAGGCTGCAGCTGCACCAGCATCCCCATGCCCATCCCCCTCGGGATGCTCTTCCCTGGGCCCTGGGCAAGGAGCCCCGTGACCCACCCAGGAGACAGCAGTATCTTCATTTTAAAGGCATGTAGATTAAGGCCAGTTAGTACTGGAAGTCAGTGCCTCACCAGCATCACCGTGAGGGCTCCCCAGTTGCCCAGGTATATCCTGCAGCCCCCTACCCCCTGAAGCCCCCCACCCCCTGAAGCTCTTCTTCACAGATCCCTTGGCCTGGAGGACCCTTCCAATGCTCTCCCTTCTTTGCTGATTTGAGAGTCCCATCCCTTCTTCCAAGACCAGCTTACTGTTCCTTGCTGAGCAGGGGACATGTCCCTCTATCCACCCCAGTGCTCCCTGCGGGGGCCTCCATCCATCCCATCTCAGGTGGCAGTCCTGTATGGATGCACCCAGCCTCTGCTCAGACCCGAATTCTCCTGGCACCCCTACCATGTTTGCTGGGTGTCCCATGGTTGTGTCTGTGCCCCTCCTGCTCCTTCCTGGGTGGGCAGTCTGGCAGGTCTGGCCTGGCTGGACATGTACTCTGCCTCTCCCCATACCTACATGTGCCTGGTCCTGGGGCATGGTCCTGGGTCTTCAGAGATCTCCAGACCCCACATACCTAGCAAAATGGTCAGTAAAAGGCAGCAAAACATTCAGGACAATGGGGCTCAGGAGGTGAAATCTCTTGGATGGACATTGATGATTTGGTAGGATGATTGTGCGGATTAAAGGTGCATAAATCAAGGCCAGTGGTGACTCATGGAGGCCTGTGGCTCATAGCAAGTGCTCAGCAAAGCCCTTTCAGTCAACAAATATTATCCAAATACCAACTCTGAGCTCATGTCCTGTTGGCCTTTCAAGTCTGCATGTGCTCCCCACAGATCAGCTTATTATTCTAGCTTGGCATGAATGTGGTCAAACTAGAGGCCATGGATCGTGATGGTCTTTTCAACACCAGTCAGGGGTGTTGATGAGCCCCTGGCTTAGGGCAAAGATGAGCCCCTCTGACTTAGTATGGTCATGAAGCCTTTCCTACCCGGATGCAGCAGCAGACAGCAAAGCCGTCCGCAAAGCCCTCTTTGTGGGGGCGCACACCCCTGTTCTTCAGCCTTTGGAACAATGTGGGGCCCTGGCTCTGAGCCTGTTGCAAGAAGACTTGGGGGTGATGCGTGTGGACACTGGGAACAGGTGTCTGCAGATGACCACCCGGCCAGAACCAGCCCCTGCACCAGAGATGCTCTCCTACCTCCAGTCGCGTCCTGTCCACATCTTTGGGCAGTTTCACACGAATTCGATTTGTGACAATGAGGGCGTCATAAGGATAGATCTGTCGGGAGAAGAAAGTATGGGCTCACCCCAGAGAGCAGGCGTGGGCTGGGACCAAAGGCCAATGGAGAGGTACATACTTGCGCGGGCATCTGACATACACATTTCATAGGAAAACACAACAAAAGGAACCTTTAACCTGGGCCGGTGCATCGTGGCGGGAAGAGGTCGGCGTGGCAGCGGGCAGCCCCTCTTACCTTGTATTCTGTAAGACAGAGAGCAGAAGCCACAGGGCGTGGGTTAGACAGTGCGGGAAACTCGTCCCAAAGGTGGAAGCAGGCTCGTCCTGGGGACAACCCTCCCCACCCCCGGCAGCCTGCCCTGGGGCTCCCGTCCTCGGAGAGTGGATTCTCCAGAGAGAAACGGAGAGCAGGAGGCATGGTCAGGAGGCTGGAGGCCAGACTGGGAGCCGGACACAGCTCTGTGCTCCTTGGGCGTGATACTGTCTCCCTGGTGGTCTGGGCTGCCCTGAGAGCGCTGCCTGCCTCAGTTTACCCACCTGTGGAGCAGACATTCCAGGGCAGTTCTGGGGGCATTGCACAGGCTGACAGCCTCGCAGGGTCTGACCCCTTGGGCTCTTACTGTCTTACCTTCTTGACCTAGTTCCTGCTTTTTCGTTACTGAGCTCCGCATGCTAGCTCTTTAAAAGGCCTTTCTGCCAAACTAACAATGTCATGTCAAAAAATAGACCTGTGTGGTTAAAAGGGCCCCTGTGAGCAAGTAGAACCCTCCAGAAAGCAGTACCCCTAGGACCCGGGCCGCAAGCTCTTCCTGGGAGGGAGACCCTGACAAAAGGCCTAGGCGACAGGGGCCAGTCCCCAAACTTCCCAGATGCCACACGACATCCTGACATGCCGGCTCTGAGCCCAGGGACCTGCCACCCCCAGCTGCCCAGCATGAACCAGACAATGAGCACACGCTCCCCACCATTCTTGGGGTGACAGGGATGAGTGAGCACGGTGCCGCGCAGGAGGGGCTCCAAGCCAGCAGAGCCCCCGGTCAGGCACCTGCCATGCGACTGGGATCCCTTCAGTAACACCGGCCTCCAGGCAAGCAACCTTCCTGGTTTGAAGCCCCGGGAGGCCCACACAGCCAGTAGGAGTGGGACGCAGGATGTGACCTGAATTCACTCAACTCGGACCCCAGGGGCTTTTGTTGAAATGCTTCCTTCCTTATTGCCGCGAAATGTAACAGTGGGTGTTTGGGTTGGACTCAGTCCTGGTTCAGGACGGCTATTCCAACACACATCCCTCTCCCCGGGGTGACCAGAGTGACAGACAAATCAGGACGGGGTGGGCCATACTCAAGGATGAAGAGAAGGAAGGGGAGCTCCTGAGACAGGACAGTGGGAGCACCTCAGGTCACATAAGAACGGAGGTACACGGCTCCTCGAGTGGAAACGAGCCCCCGTGCTCCCCACGTTGCACGATGCTCAGAGCCTCCTGCCAGCTGGCCCTGGAGGGGCCCATCTCAGAATGAGGCTTGTGGGAACGTGTAAGTGACCCCTGCCCCAGCCAGAGACCAACAGGGGTCCCCGCGTCTTGTACCTCGCGTGCCCCAGCTGGCATCCGGGTCTGCTCCACAAGGGGCCAGATTGGCATTCTGGAAGAGAAAGAGAGAGGGCGGCAGGAGGCAGGTTGCAGGGCCGTGTGGTCGCGCCTTTGTGCTGCCAGGCCCCAGTGGGAGGAGGGTGGGCACCCCAGAGCCTCTGGCACCTCAGCTCTGGAAGGGCCGTGCTGGGGCACACTTGGGGGGTTTGCTCACATGACTCCTTCTGCCTTCTAGGCCAGCACAGACCCTGCCTGGCCCAGCTTTCCTGCCCGCCTTTTGAGCTGCACCCACATGCCTGCTCTCTGCACCCCACGATCCTCTAGGAGTGTGGCTCAGCTCAGTGTGGAGGCCAGCCCGTGGGGACCTCTGTTCCCCTCCAGCCCCCGTGGGCCCCAGTTGCCCAGGGGGGCCCCACCATACAACCCCTGAACAGAGCCTAGAGTGCCAGGAGCACACCACACAGAGTGGCTGTGCCGGATGATGGCACTCAGGTGGGGAGACTCCGAGGGGACACGGGCCACCATCTCAGGTGCCTGCCTCCCTCGTTCATGGCACTCAGCAGCAGACTGCCATGTCAGTGGGTCTCCACCACCCATGTCAGGAATTCTGTTCACCTGGAAAAATCACCCCATAATCCACTAAGGAGGCTCTGGGCCCCAAAAAGCTGGCGCTGAGCCCCCGTATCTTCACTCCCAGCTCCTGCGGCTGGAGTGTGCACCGCAAGTCAAGCTCTGCCATGGCCCGCAGGCCCCCGGGGCCGCTAGATGAACCGCGTTCCTTCAGGCCCAGCACCTGCTACGGGGTCTGACCCGGACTCGGAGTTCTGGGCCAGCACTTCTGGGATCACGTGCAGTGGTCACATAGTCTGAGGGGACAGTAACGTGTCACCCTGGACTGCGCCACTGGGAAAACGCCACTTCCTTGCAGTAGAGGAGCGACAGGCGAGGAGTGGGCACAGTCTCGGAGAGGGTGCGGGCAGGGGATGAGCCCAAGGAGCCCCCAGCCCAAAGTCCTGCTTCCCAAGCAGGGAAGACGAGGGTGGTGAGTCGGGTGAGCACGTAAGTGGAGGGCTGGAGCCAGTCTCTGTTTAAGTATTTGGTGTTCTGTTCATCACAGATTTTCTTGCATTAACTTGGATTTTAAAAAAACATTGCATTAGAACATTATTTACTTTGATTACTGAGCCATTGAGCAAGGGCCTCACTTGCCTCCCCTAGTCTCAGCCAGGCGTCTTCACCTCCCACCACCCTAAGTCTTACAACCGTCACAGAATATTTCTCCTTAGGGGTTCTCAAGAATAGTTTTTGAGACATCTCAGGACACCCAGAAGCACCCCCTGGTGCACCCGTCTGGTCTGGGAACCTCTTCCTGCATAAGGCAAGACAAACCTGCCCTCCACTTGCCTTCTCCCACCTGGTCCATCGGTGAAGCAGAAGACACATGCCCCCCTCTAGTGTCCACTGCCCTGCATCACAGGCCACTAAAACGCAGGCCACTAGCGCCACCTCGGGCGGTTAGACACTCCCTTTTCTAGCAGTAAAACCAGCTTCCTCTGATCTGCCAGGCTCTCAGCAAGACACAGGCTCCCAGGAGAGAGGGTAGGGCATCCTCCAGGTGGAGGGGGCACTAGATCAGTCCAGAGCAGGGAAAGAGCAGTCTGCCCTTGATCCTCTGAGTGCCTGGGATCTTCAAGACCTTTCTGGTGTGAGGGAGGCTTACAGTCACTCCTTAACAGGTGGGGTGGCCAGGAGACCCCTACAAAGGCAATGCCAACAGGCCCATCCCTGGCTGATTCCCCTACTGTTCTCAACAGAGGCACCAGAGAATTTAAAAACAACTAATTATTAACCTCTCCCATTAGTTTGGAGTTTAGTAGGCACCAGCTAACCTACAGACACTTTCTACAGTCTTCACGGCGAGCCTGCTCACCGTGCGAGGAGCGAGGTGGGCATGATCATCATCATTTTATGGACAAGGCTCAGAGGGGTTAAGCAATGAGCCCAAGATCACACAGCAAATACTCAGAACTGTAAACATTTTAACTCATGTCTTTTACGTCTCAAAAATTATACTGGAATTAATTAGTTAGTAGGAGGAATGAAATTGTGGCCACTCATGGCCCATTGTTACGGGCTTAGCAGCTACCAGGGTGGAAGGAAGAAGGGGTAGGGACTTGCCTTTATAACAATTACTCTTGTGGGAGCCACACGATAGAGCTTATGGGGTTTCACATGTTTTCTGTTATCTGTCTTCACAATGATCTTAAGAGGTAAGGATAATTTCTTTTAAGACGCTAAGTAGAGACTCAGGAAACGTAAGAGACTTGTCTGAAGACCTACACCCAGCTGGTGGCAGAGCTGGGATTTGAACTCGGGGCTTGCTGCAGCACTGCTCTTTCCCAGCATTACCATTGGAAAACATTACACTTCTTTAAGATTTTCCTTGCACATAGGTTAAGCATTTTGAAAATGCTTTTTGGACACATGGAAAATCTGATTCAAAAGATATAGATTTTTCTCATATACCGAGTAGAGGGTTTGCTGTTTGCACTATTCACTTGCTCCATACATTTTTTATTATTTCTTTGTTCACTAGATCCACACGTCTGATTTCAAATGTCATATTCAAATCGCCTACCATCCTGTATTTCATAAGAGTCTCTGGCACTGCCTCCCTGCTTGGCGCGCTTAAATGTTCGAATGCTACGCCTGCTTGATAACACGCACCATCACCGACTAGTGTGATGCTATTATTATATATGGTATATATATGCTATGCTATTATGTATTATGCTATTACATATTGTGATATTATAATCTGACAGCCTCTGTCCTCCAACAGGAGAACTCAGTCTGTTCATATGTGCCATCAGGGTTTCTCTGTCGATGACCAGTGGTTGTTCCCTTAAGACACGGGGGGCACATGTTGGGAGCCGCGCCCTCCCATCCACAGGCTCGCCTGCAGCAGGTGGCTACTGCCCTATTTATTCCACAGACAGGAGAGCATCACCCATGAGTAGGCTCTGTGGCAGGCTGGTTGTCAGGACATTTTAATGAGCTCTAGGATACAGACTGGTGGCCCCTGTGACAGACCCCTCTCGAAGCAAGAACCAGAAGCCTCTGTCTCCCCCAATGAACCGATTTCCTTCCTTCCATCGGGTGAGAACTACACAGCCAGTCACGTTTGCCTCTTTACCCTGGCTACCAGGAAGCTCGGAGCTAAGCTTCAATGGCTTTGCTCATACAATGTTCTTTTGTTCTGATATATAATTTCTCTTATAGCTTCCTCCTCTGCTCCTTTGTGATTTGGTGTTTGTGGGCTTTTGGTCTCAATGAGCCTGAGCTTTTTATTCCACGCCACCTAGAATCCTTTCTGGAAGTAGACACAAATCAAAAGCAACCTAACGAGTGGCTTGTGAGCACTGTAGGCCACAGACAGTGGTGGGTGCCCACGTCCAGATGCTGAGTGTGGCTGGTCATGATCTGGCCCTCCCATTGGGAAATAGGCATAAAATTACATAAAAGTCTTAGAAAGACTGAAAAAAAAAAAAAAAACAGGAAAGAACCTTCACAGGGAAAAAGAAGCCCAAAACGAAGTTGCCAATACTATTTAGCAATCTCTCACACAAGCAACATGAAAAGCTAAAAATCCTCACACGAGGATGCATTCTGCCTTTAACTCCCCCAGCATCTGCAGGACACACGGGCTTCCCACCCTGGAGGCCAGCAGGAGAAACATTCACCGAGGCTCAGCTCTAGATTCTATAAAGCTCAAGTCTCTGCTCTCACTAGTCCTGGGAGAGGGAGTGAAGACCACATCCATGCTGGAGGGTCTGGGTCAGCTGTTCCCAGCTCTTTTGGGGGCAGAGCTCATGCAGGCCATGGCCTTCTCTGCAGGTGCTGGGGGCATCGATCCAAGTCATTCTAGCACGAACCAGGGAGGACAGCTCCCCAGAGGCAGAGCATTTCTCCCTCAATTGTCTTCCACATGTTGAGGAAAAGTCCCCAAACATGGCTCAAGGGCTGGTCCAGTCTGTGACTGCTGCCCTCATAGGCCCCTGAGTCACGGAACGGGTTCCAGGTGTGCAGAGAACATTCTGGATGGTTTCCCCACCCCCCTTAGGACCGTAACCCTGAATCCAGGGATTTACATCTCCTGGTGCTGTGGGGGTCCTGTGGATGTCCTCCTGCCCCCCGTCCTGTGCTGACCCTGCCATCCACAGAAGATGAAGGGTGCAGAAATCCTTAGGAAAAAATCGAGAGAAGCATGCGGCATGCGCACCCTGACTCAGACCGTTCCAGACGAGGAAGTGCAGTTAGTGTGGAGGAGGAGGCCTGCTAGAGTCAAATCATGCAGAGGGGCCGGGGCCCAGGACAGACACAACAGCAGGTCGGACAGGGCCGGAGGAAGACAAGGAAGGCCAAGAAAAGGCCTCTATCAGCCCTGTTCCCAGATGTGTCCCTGTGGCTGGGCCCCCGGATGCAAGATGTGCCCTGGGGGCTGGAGGAGGCTGCTCCCAACGTTACACACTTACTGCCCAGACCACTGTAGTGCAACACACAGGGAGCACCACTTCTGAGCGCCTTCTCCAGGGAAGGCCCCAGTTTTTGACAAATGTCCTCAGACAGGGCAGAGGCTGCCTGGGAGGGGGTGTCCTGGGGCCGTGTGTGTAGCGGGGAGACAGGCCCTGGTGCTATCACGCCCACCCTGCCCCAGGGGTCCTCACTGAAGATAGTGAAGCTCTGGGAACAGCAACAAAAATGAGCCCAGCCCCTCCATGGGGACAAGTCATGCGCCAAATGATCTGGGTTCACATTCCAATGTCCCAGATTGGGAAAACAGGACTGGGAAGTCCAACCAGCCCTTAGCTGGGAGCAGCCAGAGAAAGCCAGCTACAGAGTGTGGGATCCAGGAATAATTATAGTGCAAGTGGCAGCATGAGGGGCGACAGTAATAGTCACAGGTGGTAAGACAGCGATTGTGGTGACAGTCATGAGGGCGGTAACAGGGAGGGGCCGATGCACTCCAGGAGACAGGTGGACCCGTGGCTC